TCGCGGGGAATCGTAAAAAAGGGTCAGCCGAATTCCATTATTTTCCAACCGATTGACGAAGCGAAAAGTCGAGGCGGTAACGAAGCTCTCGATGAATATTCATAGCCTGTGTTGTCGTTTATAAAACTTAATCCATTGTACGTGATCGTAGATCGTGGGTCGTCAAAGTACTGCACGTCCATCAATTGATTATATTCGCATATTTCGTGTGAATATTTCCTAAATTTGTCATACAGATTGTTATCGAGAACGAATTTGAAATCGGTCTACTGCCTTTTTTCTACTTTCCACCATTTTCAATATTTCTCTATGTTTGTATCCTCTATTGTATAAGCGCAATTTTGATAGAGGTACCTACTTACATATTGCGATGACACTGTAGCATCGCGGAATGCCAGAATTTCTAGAAATCAGATGAGAGAAACGAGTGGAACAAGAGGACGCTTGACCCAGAAGAAGAATTTTCAGTTTCCGGCAGAGACAACTCATCAGCGGTAATCTAATTAAAAAATAGAAATCTCAAAGTTCTGTCCTCTCTGTTGCAAGTAACCAGCAGTGTTACAAGAACCTCTATTTCCTTCGTCATCTCGCAAGCATACTTGACCCAGAAAATTCTCGGTCCCTGTTATCCGACTAGGTCGTCGAGGAAATCTTAAGGAATCAGGTATCTTAAGGCTTGCAGATAGAGGAAAAGGAAAGGTGATGAAAGGTCACGCGATGCGAACCGTAATTTCCCACTGCTTTCTTCTCTTAACAAAGAGTTTGAAATCTGGCCAGGTGAAAAAGCTTGCGCGATATTGAATCGAATTTGCATTTTATTAGCCGCGAGCCCTCGAGGAAAAAGTACGGAAACCGCGGGGATTACGCTGAAACGCTATATTGAATTCCATATACTTATCGTTAGATATGTAGGTACATACATACATACATATAGTAGAGCGTTCATGTTGGTCATGTTGGTCATGTTACTTAAAAATTGTACAGGATTTATCGATTAATTGGATATTTCAATTATTATTCTACAGAAGGGAAATTGTGTTTCTGCGTTCTTACAATTAGTTAACTGTTGTTAATCTGGCTACTCTCGAGAATGTATCGAGTTTCGTAACGACCTTTACGCATCCATTATTTTGTCATTGATCAACGAGAGATGGGCCGAGATGGATGGGCGATTTTTTAGCTAGGAAAAGTGAACGAGTCAGAGGATCTTTCCGAGACGGATGGGTAGAGTAACGAAGCGTTGTAATCCTGCCGCGACACTACTACATATTTGACTTTCAGCTTGAAAAGCCACGCTAACGAAGTCCTAGCGACTTTTCACCCCTCCTAGTCGACAGTCAAACAGGCGCGCGCGACGTTCAAACTCGTAGCAAGCTAGCTCGGCAGGTCTGTTCATTTCGCGACACCAATTTCATCGCGACATCGTGAAACGGAGCAACTGCAAATTCTATTTCTACATAGAACAATTTGCATGTTATACATCTAATGGCTATGAAGCGACGATAATCGCGTGTTTCTCTTGCTTCGCTTCTTTTAATTACATATTTCTATTTTCCATACATAGAATGGTGAGAGAAGGAGAGGGTTGTCATTCGCGGCTACCGTACACGTGAATATACATATGTAAATGGACGCTCGCAGGCTATGTAATATCGCGTGCACAAGCTGTAACAGTCTGTTAGAAAACTCTCCACCGGCGAAAATTCACTCTGTTAATAAATATTTTATAGATAATTAAGTTGACTTGAAAAAATGAAGAATTGGAAGGAGAAGCAAATCGATGATTAGCGCGATAAGTGAGATTAGAAATGATTAGCTGGTGCTAATTCGGTGGATGGCGCGAGAAGAGAAGGGAGAAGAGAAGGGAGAAGAGAAGCGAGAAAGGGCAAAAGTGGCCGGGCAGAAGCGAACAATTCGCTGGCATTACGGGCGTACGTTTGCAAAATGGTCGGCGTGGAAGCGACGTCGCGGCTAATGCGTGCCATTTAAACGTTTCACGGGACATTGTGCCCGAACACGGTGCTTGGCGCGAACACGACGCGACGCGTCGCGACGGTTCGTTAGAGCATCGTTTGTTTGCACGGCTTCGAAACACTCGTTGCACAGGCTGCAAGCCGAACGATCCTCTCTTTTCCCTTGCCGTCGATGGCGTCGATGGCGTCGATGGCGTTGAGGACCAAGCCCAACAACGAACGGATCGGTCGACAAATAACTAGGCCACTTACGAATTCGTGTCGACGAAATAAATTCCTATCATGTGCAAAATTTCAACGAATCATTTTCTTTGTTTAATCGTCACCTTTTCAATAGGTGAACACTCTATACGAAAGTCTTGATTTGAAACATCCGATTGCCTCATTTCATCGAAAGGGTGAAAAACGAACGATCGAGGGTCGAGTCTGTTTTCTTCTAGCTGTTTCTTCTGCTTCTTCTAGCTCGCATAGGGATTCCATTCCAGTTATTATTATATGGTTTAGCTTAAAAAATATCAAGGAAATGTTTAGGTTTAGATTCATCTGAACGGAAGAGATGGCTATGCTCGAAGGAGATAAAGGAAAAAGGAGTCCCTCACGATGGACGTGTTTGAAGTGAAAAATAGGGGGAATCAAAGAGAAAGGTCTAAGGGTTGCTTTACGGTCGAAGGGTCAGTGTTGTTTCGAAAGTCTAGGCACGAATATTCTTCCGACAATGGGGGAACAGTATCGTTTTTGCGTTGAAGAATAAAAATTGTGCTTTTCACTCTTATGAAAATATATGTACACTCTTGAATAGAAAGTACAATTCTTTTATACTCTTTTATCTTTTTTTTTCAACTCTAGTGACTGCTTAAGAATTCAATGTAGGATATGAAAATTGTTGGACGAATATGAAGTGTACCGTTTCGATGCAAACTAATTGCCATTTCCGATAAATTCATTAGTAATCTCGTTGCGACTCCTTGGCTCGAGGAAATCTATCGATCCTCCGACGAATCGTTCGGTTACTTCGCTTACTCGAATAATCGCTCGTTTCCGAGGAATCTGGCCAAGTGAATTTTCATTTCCTCTCTCAACGACGCTCTCTAATCCTAAGGGATTCCTTCCTGCTCGACGAAGGTCAATCTGGATCCTTCTTTTTACTCCATCTTCGTTTGTTCGACAAATTGACATTGTTTGATCGTGCGAAGATGTTTAGATGGTAGTGATCTGGATGAGATAAAAAAGTGGTAATTGGTTCCAAGACGCGGAAAGGTAGAGGCGTAAATAGAGGTGCAGCTGCACGTGATGTACATAGATGATTCGTATTCGCGGCCGCGCCAAACTTCCATCAACTTGGATACCAGCAGCTACGGGAAATTCTCAACTCTAGCTGGTTGAGAGTTTGGCATACGCCTGCCTGCCTCTCTCTGCCCATTTTACTTGATACATCTTACAGATCTGTTCCTGCGAGCTTTCCAATGATATATCAACTTGTTTTTCGTCAAACAATACCAACACAACGATCTCTACTATATTATCGCAACAAGCTGTTACGGTAAAGAAGATGAAAATTTCACAAACTACCTGGAGAAGTTAACTTGACGATAGGTAAACGGAAAAGTTAATATATGTATGTATGTATCTACTCAAGTTCCGTTCAACTTCTCAATTATATCAACGTCTCAATTACCTAATGAAGCTGACTCGAATAATTTCATCGATCATTTTACGTTGAATTTCTCAGATAAATTCGCCTCAGATAAATTGCTTTATCAAAGCAGCTCCCCTTTAACTCGGCCAGCTAGAAACTTTGGTTAAGTTTTCAATTTGCCTGGCCAGGACTGTCCGACTAAACGATACTAGCTGTGCTTTCTCCGTCTGATTGGTGAAATTCACTTTTCAAAGGGTGTACCAGCTGGCCCTTGTTCGTTACCACCCCATAACCCTATCGAGTTTCAGAGAAACTTAATTAGTTGCAAAATTAGCGAAAACCAGCCTGGTGTAGAATGTAGAGTGTAGGGAAACTTGACATCTTCTCTGGGTTCCTTTATGCTCGCTTATACGGATCGGAACAACAGGTAATTGCTTAATGCTTTCGTTGTAATAAGAGAACGATTCTTTTCTACCTTGTTTAATTAATTTTTCGCCAGTCGACGACGTTAATCAGTCGAATTAATATTTCAAACGATTCAATCCTTTTAACGTATTTGTAGAACCACTTTTAGATTGACTGTTGAAATTTTCATCGAATCGGCTCGGCATCGCTCGAAACGGTTCGAATTATTTATCAACGAGGCCTGGTAAAGCTTGCTACCCTCGAAGTTTTCCAAGGTAAAGATATTTCATTAAGCGCACCCAACGATGTTTGAATTGAAAAGAACCGCGACCTACGTTCCGCTTGGTTCCCGCGTCTTTTCCCTTCAAATCCATCAGCTTTCGACCGTGAACAAAGCTGCTTTCACCATTCGACCCCATCTGCTTCGAACAATAGTTGATCAAGTTCTAACTTTCAGTTAGAAATGAATCCGATATTATAATAATATTGAAGGTAGCGAAATTCGCCGACATTAAATTCCTGAAACGTCATCGGTCCGCCATGCCACGGAAAGAGAGATAGGTACATTTTGCTAAACCATCTTTAGAATTCCGGGAATGTTATCGTTTATACCTTCCGTTGTCGAATTCTTGATAAAACGCAAACTTATAGCCGTCTATGAGCCGAAACCTTACCTAAAGATGAGAAACGTCTTCCTGTTTTCGTTTTCGCGCAAGAGTTTCGCGAAGAAGCTACGTGCTTCGCCTTCCGAACTTGACTTTTATATTTTATTGTGCTTTACGATATACGAGTATACGGTGTTATCTTATTTTAGCCGCGGATACGAATTCGATATACGGTGCGATGCGGTGCGGTGGTGATGAATGAACGCTGGAAATTTTTAATTTAAAATTGATAAAAAAAAAGGAAATTTATTCCGAGATAAATATCGTATAGAGAGTTATATGTAGAGTAATAGAAGAAAGATTTTTATTGTTGTTTTACAGGCCGAACACACGATTCTACGTACACCCTGTACAGGCTGGGTGAAAGGTTGTCTACCGGAGTGAGATTGTACGTGGAAACCGGAAGGACAGATGGATTGGATGCTGACGGAGACTCGCCTAACAGTCTTGATTCGTTTACCGGACCTCCTGTGCCACAAGGGGAAGGAAGTAGTATCGCGAAAGCGTTTTTGGATGGCAATCACACGTTGATAAGCATCATGGCTCGTATCAATCCTAGTCCAGACTGGTTTGTGGGCGTTGATTCGTTTCAATTATGCGTCGAGGGCAACTGGGTCGACACGGTTACCGTCGAGGTAAATAATATTCCTCTTTTAATTTCGATATTTAATCAGCTCCGTTCAGATAACGAGCCTTCGAATCAGTCCGCGTACGGCGTACCATATAGAAAATAATGAAAGGAAAAAATTTCGCATTCGAAATTAGGCTATCGAAGAAAAGCTCGACTCGACCCGACCTGACCCGCTATGGAGAAGCTTTTTACTATTCAGAAACAGCGAAGCCGTATTAGCGATTTTTCATTCATTAATGCAGCCAGATGGTAGTTTCTGTTGCATAGAGTTGCGAAAAAAAGCGGGGAGAGAGAAATAGGTATAGAAACGGACAAATTCGAGGAACGTCGATCGTGAGAAACGTATATAGGTCGCGTATACATATACCTATAGTTCTATTTTCCAAGAGATTCGATGAGTCCAAAGGTGGCTGGCTGGCTGGCTTTTGCCATCTCATTAAAATTCAGCCCAGCCATTGAAAGAGTGACTGTTAACCAAGTACGCTTTTTCTCAGCTGGACCCGTTGGACGGTGGAACGGATAACGGGTTCACATTTACGGCTGCCAACTGGCCAACGCAACCCCAAGGAATCGCCTACAGGATCACATCGCGATACCCGGCACATCCCGCGGGAAGCTTTTATTATCCAAATCTACCTCGTCTACCGCCGATAGCAACCATCACCTTCACCAAGGTAATTTACTTGGATTTTCTTGTTAATAAAAAATCAAAACAGCTAAATGTTTCAACAATTTCGACAAGGACGTTAAACTTGCTAATTATATCTTCCCCCCTAATCCTTCTTTTTCACTCACATCAGTTGACAATTATTCTAGTTACTTCGATATTATTTTGCTTGCTTTCTATCAGGTATCGCTGGTTGTAATTTACAGCTGACGATGAGTAAGAATCATTTTTCGCGTTTATTTCCCTTTTTCTCTATTTTCCTTTTCCGTGTAATTCGCGGCTGCCATTACGCGACAGCAGGCAATACGAGCCAGCTCATGGTTCTCTGTCGCGGCAAAGAAAACGAAAAAATGCAGAGGAAAGAGGGAAGGTATGGTTCCATTAAGCTCGAGCATCTTAGGTGCTCCATTAAGGTTGAAATTGGAACGCGCTGCGTAATGTTCCACTCGTATCGCGACCATCTCCGTTGTCGTCGTGTAACGATTCGACGCGAATCGATAACGTTTATGTCCTCGGACAGGATAGGAAAGGTGGCGCCAAGTGCAGCTCGATCCGAATCGAATTCGCGATCGGAATTCTTTTCTTTTCTTTTCTTTTCTTTGGACGTTTGAAAATTTTCAACAGCCCTCTTGACCTGAAATTATTTCTCGTTGCGAGAAAAACAGGAAATTCAGTATAAACGATAACATTGTTTCTGGCTTTTACGTTCCTTCAATTTTTCTCACGACGCGACTCATCGAATAATTTGTTTTCTCTTTTGCCGTTTAATGCTTGTTCAGAGGAATAATATTCAAGTACCCTGCTGGTAAGGCAGAGGGTGGTAGAACATCGGAAACGCGGTTAAGGCGCATTAGTATAAGGGGATTGCAGGCAACGCACCGTTTTCTACCCTCTTGTCTATTTATTATCCGTACAATCTCATTCGCCTCTGTTTTCTGTACGGCTACTTTAATCGCAACGCTTGTCAGAAGTAACGAACGATAATCTGGATTAACACGCTCGAGAAGAATTTAACGTTTGCTGCTCAGCGGATAAATAACGGAACGATACTTTGAAACAACTACTTTTCGGTAGTTATGCAAAGTGTTGGATAAGTTTTGAAAGAATCAGAGACACGCGAGTTATCGATCGTGTTATCGATTACATCGCCGATCATAATTGTTCCCTCGGGGGTGAGCCCAGCGTGTATCTTCTCGTGAGGCTCGTTAACGCTCGTAAGCCATGAGTTAGTATCGTGAGGTCGGTGCAGCAGATAAAGGGAGGAGACGCGGTGCAGTACGGGGTGCGGTACCCACAGGATTATTCCAAGTTGGCTGAAAGCAATAGGGATTGGTTAGCCGTGACACGGCCTCCTGCGCCAGCATATTTCGATGTTCGCCCATACTTGACGTAATTATCGACTATTCATAGGCGCTCGCTCGATTATCTCGGCTGTTCTCGTTTACCTTGCTGCACACTAATTTCTCTCCTTTTAACAACAGTTCTTGTCGGGAATCAATTCGAATCAGCCCAAGGTAAACACGTTAATTACCTTTCAGGTTGAACAAAGAAATTTTTTACGGAAAGAATTCACTTACAATTTCCAAAACGTGCTATCTATTTTACGCAAATTAATTTGAATGAAAGAAGAGTTATATGTACCAATTGAAACCCCTGTCAACGCAACGGGTGTCAAGATAAGCGACGATCTTCGCAAGACCTGCGAAGATCTCCTTCGTTTCGAATTTTTCTACGATTTTCTAAATTTTGAAATTTCCCGTTTATACCCCAATATACCATACGATATTTCGTCCATGTAAAAGAAAAGAAAATCATTTTTTACGTATCGAGTGTTGTTCGGTAAATGTAGCCTGAAAATGTAACGACCCTAGAATATTTTGCAACAACGTCCCCCGCAAACTGTCCTTTCGAAACCCGTGAAAATTCGATTTTAGAAAGGGAAAAGCGCCTCTGTGAAAAGGTGGTGAGTAGAAAACGCAGAGGAATTCGAAGCACGCAATCGAGGGGTAAACAGAGGAAGGCTCGGGTGGAAAATAAAGAAGCAAAAAAAGTGTTGACCCGACCACCCCCCTTTGGAAGGGTGTGAAAAGGCTCGTTATTATTTCGTACGTAAATAACCGACTATATTAGATTTCCATGGCTGAAGAATTCCAAACAGAGTCTTTGTGTCTGATGATGTAACAATAGAGAGGACGAAGGGAACTGTTCTTGATACTCAAAGTTGTTAGTAATTGAACACGTGTTATCTAGCGATGATAGGAAGACGATAAAGCATATAAAAGTTGTTGGAAGAGCACGCGTCGTTTTGAAAACAAGTCAAAAGTTAAGCGGGATCTCATAGAAGAGTAGAAGAATGCTATTTTATTTTCTTTCCGAAGCCATAACTAACGAAAGAAACAATTGTGGATCGTTGAAGAAAGGAATGAAACTTTAGACGTTCGCCATTCGGTGTCGCGACAGTGGATGGGTAGATGGTGGATAGTGAATAGTGAAAGAAGAAAGAATAAAATGGAATTCTCTAAACTGGAAAGGCGTGTTCCTGATTTTCAAGCTGACGCATGACGCATGGTGAATCTTGAAAGCTTCTATAGAAATTTTCCTTCTATTCAAGGATTATTATTCTGGATCGAGCTAGTCACAAGTTCATTGATATTAGAATCGTAATTCGAGGCTTTTGTCTTTTATCGTCTCATTTAATTCCCCGTTTAAAAAAGAAGTTTAACAGCGGATCGATAGATATGCGATTTGAAACGTTTTTATACAAATGAAAAATTTTTTTTTTACACGAGAACCACTGTGAGAAGCATGATTTTCTTAAAGAAACGAGCGATATAATAATTCAAAGTACGACACTTTGGAAAGCGTCGAAATTACCTCTGACCCGTGGCAATAAAACGGAAACTCTTTCATCCTGAAAGTTTAACGAGAGGACCGAAGTGCGTCGTAAAAGGGTGCAGTTCTGGATAAAACCATCTGGCATGAGGTTGAAATTTTCCTAATTTTTCATAATTAGGTATACAGGTATCAGGGAAATTGAACTATTTTTTTTTTCTCTCTTGTCAGTCAGTGTCACGGTTTCTCCATTGACCGTACCTCTCGTTCTCACCCCCTTTCGAGCAGACAGTTTCCCTTGACGTTGCGTTGGTTTGTCACGCTTGTCCGCTTATCGACGGATTAACCACTGGCTGGTTGCTGATGGTGGGTCGGTGGTGATGCAAGCGATGCGGTTGACTATTCTCGACGTGCCTCGTCTGGACGTAAAACGGCTTCGTAATTAGAAAATTCCCGATAACTGCGCTGTTTTAATCTTGCAAACTTTTAGTCAAAAACAGGTACATACTTGTATAACTAACGATAAGGTTCGTTAGGTTCGTTAGGAAATCGTTAGGTTCGATTATACCTGAATTATTCAGTCTCCAGCCAACTGATAATTAAAATGATATTCGATTATTAGTTTGGCAAGTAAATAGTGTATCTCGTACACTCTAATCTAACAAGTATCTTATCTAACAGTAATAAAGGTGGCGAGCCGTAAAATATCATCGTGTTTCCACGCACAGACTGGGCTAAAATAAAACAGGATAAGAGGAGGGGAAAATATTTCGCGTTAGCCATTTAGTTCTAATTACAAGCTGAACGGAAAAGTTTTCGCGTTAAATTAAGTCCGCGGTTTACGATGTTAACGCGGAAACTATTTGACGGGATGGAAGGTCGGAGCATTCGCGAACGCTCGTCTCCGTTGAAAAAAATGTTTAATAGCCCAATATTCTGGTCCCTGTATCGATTGGTTTACCGAATAACAGGGAAACGCAATTCCAGCCTTATTATATCGTGAAAATATTTATGAAAGATTCATAAAGCAGTTGTAAAAATAAATAGAGCCAGGTGAACGTTGAACGTTAAACGGATTTGTCCAGCGTAAAATCTATAATCCCTGCAGCGGCGATAATTAGCAGGCGGGCAGTCGTCGCTGTAATGAAATAATTGCCGGTAATTTCGCGTCGTTTACTTGCGCGAAACGAATTTCAAAGCTAGGCGGATAGTGGCGAGGGGGTCCTCGTACATATTAGCCGCCGGCTAATACGATCCACGGCCAGGGAATCGTGACAAATTGCAACGGCTAGTCTGCCTTCGATACGATCGAACGTTGGCCACTGAATTTTCGCCAATCGAAACCAACTCTGCAGGGAATTTACAGATTGCCGCTGCTCCACCACCGTTCGCGAAATCCCTACCTATTTCACCGTGGAACATCGGGGGCTCTGCGATGCGCAATTATAATGCCAGAGATAGTACACCGCAGGGGTAGAAATTATTGAGTCGAGCCTTTTTTTCAACACCCCCACACCCCGACGAATATTTAAGGGATGTAAGATTTGTTGTAAGCCACATTAATGAGCTAGACGAGAAAATCACGCTGAACGAACAGAAGGACAGAATAATTGTCGGGTAATTTGATTATGATGTCGAATCGTGAAATAATCGAGGGAAACGATGCAGAACGAAGCACACGAATTTGGTTGCAAACGATGGCTGGATTTGCAACGTCACGTTCGGTGCAGGTGCACGTGGATGCACTCGAAAAGAGCCTCCCACCGAGTTATTGCTTTTGGACAAATACAATAGGCAAACACGATTGACACAACTTTACTACTAGTATATATGTACATATCTACCTACCTCTAACAGACTTGCCCTTGACACACTACACGATACGATTCGTTTCGCTTCATCCGCAACGATTTAATAAAAAATCTAACTAGGTTAAATCGAACGATATTTCTAAATGAAGAAAATAATGCGAGGGTCTTGACAGCGGCTGAGAGGAAGTTAGTGGCCGGGTTTTATAAGGAAGTGCATAGCGCATATAGGTACATACATATGGTACAGTTGGCAAACAGAGTGAACTAGAATGGCGCGAAGAGCAATGGCGATAGCTGGACACTCGGTAGACCTCAGTGACCACAGATTTATGAGGACCCCGAGTTTGCCAGTACGACGAGAATTTCGAATGTTTTGCGGTGTGGCTGATGGGAAAATAATGCAACTTAATATATCACCGGCTTAATTATTTTTCCCGGATAATTGATTGGTAAATAAATTCTGTTTGCGGTGCGGACTAACTTAGCATTTTAAAATCATCCAACTGAACGCGAATCTTTTAAAAAAATAATGTCTTTGCTAAAATTATGTAGATAAATCAGGAGATAAATCAGGAGATAAACGTCTGAAACAAGATGATACAAGATGGACGCATTCTGTTTAAACATAGAAATGGAGGCAGTTTATTTTGTCGCAGAGCCGGCCGCATTAACTATCTCCCCAGCTAGATGAAACAAAGGAGGGAATGATTTAATTCGTGGCAAAAGTAAAAAAGAAAAATTCTCGTGGTCTTGTCGGGGACGGTTTAGATTTAAAAAGCAGAAGCTGCAAAACACGTCACGTTATTCTCATCCTGGTATTGTTTATAAATTCTAACAGTTTGAAAGGAAAAAATTCATGAAAACTGTTTGAATTTCAATGCTCGGTGCCGAGAATGTATCGTGCGAGTTGCGGGAAAGAAAGTTGCCAATATCGTCCTGGAATAGTAGTCGAATCGTATCGAAATGAAAGAAAAGTTCCATAGCTTATTTTTCTTTGGTTACTTTGGTCTTCTATTTTCAAAGAAAGAACGTATTTTTCCATGGAAAGAATCGAAGGAAACAAATCTTTGACAATTTAACAATTTAACAATTTAACAAAAGTAAAATTCGTAAACCGTAGTAAATATGGAAACGTTAACCGCGAAGAAACTGGATTAAATAGGCTAGTGGAGTAACAGAATCGTGCTCGTTCAAGCTGCATGCACGTACTTATCGTATGTATCTCGTTTTCCAGTTAGAAAACTAACGTCTACCAGGGTAGTGGTACGGAATAGAAATTGGTAATGCCGAATGACCGAGGATCGTGTTCAAAAACCGAGAAATTTATGCGAGTTAGTCGAGTTATTCGCAAACTAAATTTTACACCAGCTGTACGCGTTCGTGATCGAACTTTCCGATCACGGTGGCTACATCGTTTTAACCGAATTGCCAACTCGTTTTTCTTTCAAAACCTTTGCTAGAAACGTAAAGAAAAAAAAAGAAATATTTCTTGAATAATCGTGTCGAAGATACGTAACGAGAATATGAAGAAGTTTAATCGATTTTTTCAATTTGAATATGTTTGAAATCGTTAAGCTTTCTCCCTAAATATTCTATCGAAGCATGTAACTCGACGTAAGTAAGACGACATTGTTGGAAGGATCTACTTAAATCGGATCATAAAATTTGTGAGGATACCGGATACCGGAGTGTGCAATGGCCAGATACATACATACATACATACATATATACAGGAGCATAAAATACGAAGAGACTGTTACGGCTTTCCAGTTTGTCCCGGATCTGAACAAAAGTTTTTACACGACCCTAAAAGACAAATCCCTCGAAAGTTCGTTCTACTGAAAATTCATTTTCAAAGTGAAAATCCATCGCGGAAAAGCGGAGAGGAATTATGTAAACGAGCGGAAGCGGCCTTGATTGTGCTAATGCAACGACGTTTCTTAAACGAACTTGATAAACCAGCGACGAACAAGATGAAGTATAAAAATTTTTTTACGACACGCGATTCCTTCATGGATTTGTACTTCTCTATCTGGTCGTTTTCTTTATTTTAACGAACCGTTTCTTCAGAGAAACTATAGCAGTTTAAAAACTTTTATCAACTTTCATTCGATTTTAAAACATCCAATAATGGAAGTTTAGATTGTGCAGGGGTAACCGTTTTACTTAAAAGTTAGTGCATATCAAGTAGACAATTAACGTTTACGACGCGACGTATCAATTTAAAGCAGAAGCTTTCATGAAGATTACTTATAAGTACCTAAACAAGATTGAGACACCCTGTGTATGTACATCGTTTCATAAATACAATTTCATCTATGTTTACGTCTTTTCGTTGAAAAGACAAATCTTTTTGCACGCTCATCTTTCGAGGGTGGTGCACCGATCGAAAATGGCGAAAATGGCGAAAATGGCGAAAATGGCGAAAATGGTGAAAAGTCAAAGAGAGGAGAAGTCTGCGGAATTGGTTAGCTCGAGGGAAAAGGCAGCCGTGAACCGTTGTTATCGTTATTTTCTAAAGAAATTACGAAAGGCTAGAGGATCTTCCATACCACGATCTCATTCATTTTCAATATATATTGTAATTGTATTATATATACAATATAATGAAAGTTCATTTTTCTACAAACAAAGTTTAGGTACTGTTGCTATTTCAGCATCTTCGAAACGGTGTTAATTAGAGATGATTCTTAATCCTCGATTCAGAACATCAGCTAATCGTCACTAAAGATCCGTCCTAAAAAGTTTATCAAAGGAAGAAGAAAAACAACAAGCTTCTCATGCTGGTTTTAATTATATCTATTCCTCTCTCTCTCTCTTTCTCTCTCTGTTCAAGTACATCTTTTTTTTTCTCTTGATCATAGAAACGGTTTTTTTTTTGCTTTATCTGTTCCTTTACGTTCAATAGGAACCCGTACGTACTTCTGCCGCAGACACGGATAATCGATTGGAAACCATAATTGGAAGCTGCCACCGTACGTGAAACAATTAATTAGACCTTAATTAGCGCTCGGCCCAGTTTCAAACGGTGGGTGGATTCTAGAGGAAGCTGGGTCTTTGTCATCGTGTTACCCTCTGAAATTCGTGGAACAGATAAGGAGACAGCTTTTCTCTTATTTAATCTTTTTTCTACCTTTCATGAGGCACCTTATCACTGTATAATTATCATCTTGACGGATCGAAGAACACGATAGGGTTAATTTCCTCTTCGATAAAGCATCGACCTACTTCCAACATATAATTTCTCTGAAACTTTTCGAGTAAAGGTAAAGAAAGTTTAACCTTTAATTTTGTTGCAATTGTGGCCATCGTTTATCGTTTAAAGGGAGTTGAAACCGAGTAGCCTTTTCTAGCAATTTTCTATCAAAAATGAAACGAGATTGGAAACGCAGGCGATAAGATAAAGAAAAATATTGAAAGGTATCGAGGAGCCCTGTATCAGCCTTTATCATCCCTTAACGACCTCGCCAGTCAAGGATAGTCATAGCGAATTTTTTCGGTCACTTCTGCTGCAGATCCGACAACAGAGAGCTGTCATCCGGTTGTCGACCAAGTAGAAAGGACTTGTGAAAAACACTCGTTCTCCTTTGGTCCGGTCCAGCAGCGATCAATCGTGATTCTGTCGGTACCTACTCTCTCCATACCTACGTCCCACGAGATCCTTTCGTCACAGAACTAATCACCGGGTAAAAAGTCAACTGACTGATTGTGCTTTTCAACCTTTCGTTCGATATTTTTCCCCGAGATTTGTTTGGTCTAGGTCTGTAATGCTGCTCGTTGAATAAATAGCGTGGAAATGATTAAAAAGGCATTGTTATTGTGTTACAGCTACGGGAATATACGTTAACCGAAACGTATCACGAAGATGACGTGGAGGTGGAGTTTGTCAGCAACGACAATCTACTAGCGAATAGTCCGACCCCCAGAGGGATCGATCCGAACAGGGACCTGAACGAGGCTATCGCCGAGGAACGAAAGGAAATGGACATCCAGAGATACAGGTACAGCTCTTTGCAGGTTCATCCTTTTTTACAAATTGTCCCGTAAACGGAATCGAAGCACAAATTGCTAGACGCTTTGTTTTACAAATCTCAACAGTTGTATTATACATATATGTATAATATATCCCTTGAGAAGATTATTTTGTATATGCAATTTGAAACAAAAAGAAATTGGAAAAGAAATTGAAAAAATTCGTACAACTATCAGATTGCGAAAAAGTCGTTGTAGAGAAACCGCAAAAAGATGAATTTCCTCTAAAAGTTAAAAAGGAAAATAGAGCAAACAACCTGGTATGGATAGAAAGTGCTGGTGGAGAGGGAAGTTGGTAATGATATGAACAGGCCTGAAGAGACCAGCAGTTTTTCAAAGGAAAGGAAAGGAAAGGAAAGGAAAGGAAAGGAAAGGAAAGAAAAAGCAAACGAAACCGAAAAGGAACAAGGAAACGTAAGATGAATGTTGGAAGGAACGAGATGGAAAAGCCAGGGGAAAATCATCTAAACGACGCCCTATTTCCACAGCTCCTTTCATCCTGCGTCTGGACATTGTCGGACGGTTTTCAGCCTGCCAGATCTCGATGTCCTTTATGCGCCACTGTCCATTCAATATGTCTTCCTGCTTCTGAGCCAAACTCTCTGTTACACGACCTATTTCTCCAACTTCGTTTCAAGCATTGTCACGTGAACAATCGAACGACCGAGTTTCGCGAACGATTAGATCTACCGATTTTTCAAATCGCTTCTTTCGTCCTATCTACATATAGCAGGCAGCAATGAATAGTCGATTGAATTTGACTAATCCGTTGCTTACAATGATCACAGTTACAAATTTCTATTAATGATAATTGCTCTAATTTCTAATAACTCGAATCTATACTTGGTGTATGTATGTCGCTTTCCTATAATTACTGAAATTTACAAAATGACTACTGTTATACTGGCTCTAGTTTACATACGTTTCTAATTTCTACGATTAGTGTAACATAGCTTTACTTTTTAAAATTTGAAAGTTACCACATGAGAGGAGACATGGCCGCTAGTTCGCTTTGGTCCTCTCCGTTTTTCCATATTATTTACCTATCGTAAAACAGGATCCCATGAAAATGTAATAAAGGCGACCGCGAATCAAATACGTTTCCTGCCGCTGTCGTTGCCGATTCCCCTTGGGTCAGTATATACATTTGACATCTGATGCCCGATAACGATATTACTTTCCGCGGACTTGCCAATTCTCAGTGGCAATTTTTGCGATACACTTGAACAAAATAGTGTGCCCTTATCGTTGTAATATCCGGGGTATGGTCCGTTGTCCATCGGTCCATCGGTCCATCGGTCCATCGGTCCATCGACATGATCGTCTAGAAACGAACGAAAGAACGAATCCACCCTAACTTTTCCTTTACTTAATACTTTTTCTTCCTTTCATCGACGTCTCCTTCGTCTCTTTTGGTAGCAGCAATTTTTATTTAATCAAGATCCCGTAAGGAAAGGGTCGCTTTCATTATGTCGAATCGAATCGAATCGAATCGAATCGAATCGAATCGAATCGAATCGAATCGAATCGAAGAGGCAATATAACGTTAAGGTTCCATAGAGATATCGATGGAACGATGAAACGCGCTTTGAAAAGCAACCACTCGAGCGGTGATAAAAGTAGAAAACATAATTATATAAAAAATTGTAGTAAACACGCTGTTAAAAGTTTCGGTAATTTTGATTGTTATTTCGTTACATATGTAGCACTAAAGTGATTGAACAAAAATGAAGCGCGGAGAGCTGGTGCGATCTGGCAATTAGATCGACTCGATTCGATAAACCAAGGAGAATCGTGCCGCAAACGTGATCGAAAAAAGGCCGTATTGATCGGTCGGATAAATTTTTTTTTTCTTTTTTCTTTTTTCTTTTTTCTTTTTTCTTTTTTCGTTTCGACAGCGGGGAATTGTTTCGATGAGAGAAGTAGAAACAGCGCGATACACGCTTCTCTTTTTTGGTACAACGACAAGCGTAAAATACGTTGCTTCTGGCACGAAACTTTTAACCAAATTGGAACACCATCGAATGAAATTTATTTTTTTATTTAAAAAAATTTTTTATTTTCTGGCTTGGAAATATTTTCGTTGACTGTGCTTTGAGTCGCGATCAAACCTTCATCTTACTTTGGTGTTTCGAAACTTTCAAACGAAAGACTTTTTTACCTTTATCTATTAGTGAAGTAAAAGTGAAAGGAATAACAGAAAAATTTAAAGGATGAGAATGAAAATGACTTTACATAATATAGGTACATATTTCATCATTTTCATCAATTTCATCGTTCGATGCGGTCAGTAGAAATCGAAGAAAGAGAATAAATCAAGTTATCTATTTATTTGAATAAATACAGACTTTGGAAACATTTGTATAGGTGTCAATCGTTCGACGATAAAAAGAAAATGAAGGTTTGTTATTATCCAACGAGGAGACTCTATTGAATGATACTTCGTATAATGTCCTATTCACTAGAGTGACCCACTTTCTCCTTCGAATGTAATAATGAAAAGAAAATTCTTTTTCAAGCACAAAGGAACGACCCGATCTTTCGCGAACCGAATCGAGTCGAATTGGTATTCTTATGATATTAGATCAAGTTTGGTTCAACTCGATTTCTACGTTTCTAGACATAGCATCGTTCCTCGAGGATTATTAGATTATTGTTCTTTCTCGTTCTGTTCTGTTCTGTTCTGTTCTGTTGTTGGAAATGGAAAATATTGTCAAAATCGTTTAATTTTTTTGTGCGTGTACGTGGATTTTTCAGGAAACATGTCTGAACCAAGTGGACCGGGAAGTGAAGCGGGAAGTGAACCGGGAAGTGGCCGGTAATCCTGGAATTTACGTCGACTGTCGGATACGAATTTATGTCACCGCCGGGCATTTGCATTTTAAAATTGTCTCTCTCTCTCTCTCTGTTAATGAGCGTTCTGAATTGCAAATCCCGCATATAATAACGCGCTTTCGTAAATACATTTTCAATTAACCCGCGAAAGTGACGTTTCGTTTAATTGATTATCGTTTAAACGGCGAACTGTTGCGATATTGAATATTGACATTTTTTCGTCGCCAACGAGTGAAGAGAAGTTTTATTACTTTTTTATTTAGATATTCTTTACCTTTATTACATATTGGTTATTAATGTCACGACGTATTCTGTACAAATTTCCAAACAATGTAATAATCTTCTTCTCAATATTAAAACACGAATTACTATCGATCGCATAAGCTACGCAATCGTGAGAGAATAAAAAAAATGAGTCATACGATTACGATCAGAGAGAAAAAAAAAGAAAAAAAGAAAAAAAGAAAAAAAGAAAAAAAAGATGACTAGAAAGCACTCTGGCCTACAGCTTTAAGCCCTCTTTTCAAAAGAAGAATCAGAGGCTAGCGTTCCTTCGTTCGAGATGAAAGGACTCGAGCTCGAAAGCTTTAACGATCCACGGTAAGCCACAAAAACTCTATTCTCGATACTCGTCTGTTTTTCCTACGCGAATTCTAAGGGAAGCAACGTTATCGTCGCACCAACTTCTTATTCTCTATCATTTAATGTTACCTCTGATAATTAGGCTGCACGATCAAATCTATGATTTAAAAGAGCTACCTTAACGCGACCTGTTCTTTCTCTTCATTTAGTTCACCCGTTGGAGAAAATTAATTTAATTAAAACGAAACTCCCTAGTTTGTTTCGCGCCAAGTTTAATCCCCACGAGGAGAGGGTGGAGTGCATAAAAAGAAGAAAAAGAAATGAAACGTAGAAGTAGTTTGCGTGGATTCGTGTGAATTGTAGATGACAGGGTGTTGGGCCCATTAATAATAGGAGGGAGAAGCGTAAAGAAAATTGAACGTTTTTTCGTTTGATGTCTAAAAAATTCATTTCCGTAATCATCGAGTCGGGACGCGCGGCTGGCCGAGCGAGAAAATCGCGTCTCGATCGATCGGTGTGAGTCGAGCGAGCTGCAGTTCGCCTCCCAAGGCGAATTTCTGCTTATTTTCGAGAGTGGAGGGAACCGAGGTACGGTACGGCGAGACGAGCGGAAAATAAACTAGCAGAGAAAATTCGCAGCAGGTGAATGACGGTTAATTCGATGCTCTCTCTGCACCGTGACGAGGGCTGAGATAATTATTCGAGGGAAATTGGAATGATGCAAATGTGCAGGAAATAAATTCAAAACTCGTTTCACACAGGGCTGTCCGTTTGTGGAAAATTGGGAAAGAATGTCTTGTTAAGCGCATTTCTTGAAACGTTACCTGTATTAGTTACGAGTTCACCAGTGTTTTTCCACTGTGATTTCACTAGCTAAATCAGAATTTCAATGTGCCAAAAAGAATTTCAAATGATAAAGGAAACATTGTATCTCGTCGTTTTCGAATCGCGCCTTCTCTATTCCGTGAGAGAAAACTCTTTCTTCCTGACGCCTACGCGACGCGACGCGACGTGAGAAACTCGAGCTGCTGGCGAAGAGCAGCTCGTCGTCTAATACCGAGAAATACGAGAAGATCGAAAATTCCGAGGGCGAAAAGAACAGGATGAATAAGTTTCAGAAGTGAAACTCGTCGTTTCTTCCTTCTTCTTTTCCGGTTTTCTTTACCCTTCTCGTTTCCATCCCTTGTTTCTTCTTTCTTCCTTATCTGTTTTCCAGCATCAGCCCGGACAGCTTTACGTAGACACGGCAACCGTAAATCAACTCTCGAAATTGTTTTCGAGTGGCGCACAGACTAGCTCGAGGAACTCGCTTGTCTAAGAATTTCAGCGACGAAGCCTCGGCTCGATCATTTACCCGGTTGGAAAAATAACCGAACAAAGAGATAGAGATGATGATCCGATGCATCTCGATCTGTACCAAAGTGTTTGCAAATACCGGATACATTTGAATACGTTTCACGCTTGATTGCGATCCGAGAATATCGCGCAAAGGTTTGCGAACTTTTCTCATTTTCACCGAATAAACCATGAAATTCCGATCAGTTAGACACTAACCAACCGATGGCGAATCTGTGAAAGATTCTAATTACAAATGATGAAATTATGGAATCTATCTATGCATATTTCATTCGTTAACAACTGTTAACGATGACGATATCGATTCTGGTTGCAGGTATTGGACAACGACCGGAAGTGGCCAGCTGGTGACGGATGTTCCGCGTGACAACAAGGCAGTGATCATGGACAGTATCGCTTCCTCGTACGCCTGGCAAAGGCCAAGGTTTACTGGAACACCTCCGCCAAAAATGACCAAGTTCGATGGAAAAAGCAGCTGGCTTTATTATCAAAATCAAAATCAAAATCAAAATCAAAATGAAAAGTACAAGGAAACAGAGGAGGCGCAAAAAGCGCAAAAAGCGCAAAAAGCGCAAAAAGCGCAAAAAGCGCAAATCTTCAAGGATATTCAAAGGAAAATGGCAAACGCGACCAATGGAAACAGCCTGAATCATACGTGGAACTCTACCGACGCTATGAGCCAACGTCAACACAGGCTTAGGATGAAACATCATAGACTAACGTCGAAAGGGAAACGTGTGAGAACGCGTGAGTATGAAACTCGGTTAAGGTCCCCGATTAAGGTTTCGCCCTTTTAATCCAGCTTGCGTTTAACCGAGGTTGCTTTCATTGTTGCAGGTGCTCCCAGAGACTGTAAGGTCGGTGAATGGGGTCCGTGGAGTGCCTGTAGTCGCAGCTGCGGTGTGGGGGAGACCCAGAGGACGCGGAAGATAACGATAAAGCCGCGTCGTGGTGGATCATCGTGTCCACCGTTGAAAGAGACCAAGTGGTGTGGGAGCGCGAGCCCCTGTTCCGATGGCAAATCCATCGTGGACAGCTATCAATGGTAGTCGCGTTCTCGTTGTCGTTGGTCAAGTGGAAATCTCGGACGATTTAGCCTAAACGGTCGAGAGGAAGAGGATTCCAGCGACTCGGGTAGGGGGGAAGTCTAGAGAAAATCCCTAGACGAACACGTCATTAATGGGGGATCGCGCGAATGAACGTTATCGTAGTCGTAGAACCAAAGATTTCGCATGGATCAAGACATCTGATTGGGACTTTTTTCCAACGATTCGGATATAATATACACGTATGTGCCAGTCGAAATGTTAAATGCGTCGAACAGGCACGGTTCGTCATCGGCTGATTCGACGAATCGGAAATAGGATAAAGCTTGTCGCGATTCGACGAGAATTCGAACCGGTTTACGGATTATCCTGCCGGGATAAAACGAATTCCCGTACGAGATCCACTAAAACTCGAATACGAGCGTCCTAGTTCCCATCGAAGCGGATATCCGATCCAACGAATTCGTTTCTAGCCTGAAACGGAGGAAGGAAAAAAGAAAATGTAAGAAACGATGAAAGTAAGTAAAGAGTTTTGCGAAGGTTAGAAAAATTGCCGGCAATTCCCTGAGGTTGAAGCGTTGAACGCAATTAACTCATTGGTCTCTGGCACGTGTAGATGTATAGGTATAGCTGTATGTATGTATGTATGTATGTACATACATCTGTGTGTAACGAACGAAAAGGACCGTCGCGTCGCGTCGCGTCGGTGGATAAGAAAGTTTGCGGAAGAAATTCAACGAATGGCTCGCGTGTCGATCGACAGTCTTAGAGGGACTTAGGCTTTGCATTTCTTTGCCATATCCCGCCGCTCGCGCTTGGCTCGTGTTCGGGGCTTGTTCGAAAGTTTCAGCCATTTCTATCGATTCGATGCACCTACCATGGATTAATTTTCAGCAAAATTCAAATCTTCAATCTATTTAGCAGCTTACGTTTTTTTATATTATTTAGAATGCGAAGAATATGCTTCCTGCAATATCAAATAAAGGATCAGAGTACGCGCCTGCTTATTATTTGGTCCAATTCATGCGAACATCTACTAAATGAAAGAATGAAAAATACCAAAAAAGAAAGATCTTTTCCCGACGTTAGTAATACGATCGTCCGTTCTCGTGGCGTATTGGGGAAATTTTTACAAAAAATGAAAAAAGATATCATCATCAGGTACATACGTCTTAGGTGAGTGTATTATATCTTAGGGATAACTTTAACGATAATAATTAACAACTAACGTTTAATGGTAACTGGTTAATTAACAGGCTCGTATCGTGGTGCAGCGGCTTGTCTTTCTCGCGTTTATATCATTAACGATCTGCAATTTTATCACAGCCGATCAAAGATAATCACTCAGGTTTTAATTAAATTAAAGAGAGGGGGGAAGAGAGAAGTAAGCAAATCGAAGTAGAAATGTCTATCGTAAATTTATGATTGGGGGTATTAAAAGAAGAAAAAAAAAAAAAAAAAATAAGATTCGACATTAGCTAGCGAGACATGGAAGAAACTCTTGTTGGGTTTCATTTTTTTATTAACCACGAAGCAGGTAGTTTCGAGTTCCGGTGAATCGTGAAATTTCTCGCGGTAACAATAACATGACGCAACGACGAAAGGTTCGTTTTCTAGCGGGAAAAGGAAGGAACAGGCCGTCGCAGTTTTAGCAGCATTAAGAATGAACGTTTTATAAACTAAACGCTCGAGGGAACGATTTCGTAACGAAAGTTTCAACGACACGGTGAAAAAGAGAGAAAGAAAGAGAGAGAGAGAGAGAGAGAGTAAAGAAGTAGAGCTGTGTAGTTTGCCTAAGAAATAAAAGCGCGAGATAACAAGGAGTAGACGTTACCAAAGAAACGCCCGTGTAAATGTATATCTTATCCTTTCTCCTCTGTTTCCGCTTCTACCTTCTCTAATATTCCCTCGAAACTTCCTTCGAACCATCCTTTTCAACCCTCCTTCTTATTGTCCTCCTGTATCCATCATTTTTCTTCTCGACTCTGTTCAATCCCTTCCATCGTATGCATACAACTTGACGCTTTTTTCTCTCTTTCCCCTACTCTCCATTTTACACATGAGAGAATTCACGCGGACAATGACAAATCAACGAGTGTGAGCAAGATGGGGTGCAGGGTGGAGAAGGGAGAGAGAGAAAGAGACGAACGAAAGAAAAAGGGAGGGAAGGAAGAAAGGAAGAAAGGAAGAAAGGAAGAAAGGAAGAAAGGAAAAAAAAGTTAAAACAAAGAAAAAAGAAAGGAGGATGATTCTGTACAAGTCACTGTGCATTCTAGCCTCTAAGGATTTAGCTGATAGGACTTTAGCTGTTAAGCAAAATCATGTAGCAATGTATAACACGATAAGTTTATATTACATAATAAAATCTGTCGATAAAGATTCATTCGAACAATATTTTTCACTTGTGACGTATTCGTATAATTAATAAAATAGCTATATTGTTTCAGGAATACTGGCCAGTGTCGAGTTCTTTCACCCGGTCATTCTTCGCTATCCCTGTATGCGACCTATACATATTACCTAAACTTGATACAGATATCCAGACGTTAGTATTAATGTTCAGTGTTCATTAAAAGGAAAAAAAAAGAAAAAAAAAAGAAAAACAAATGAAACGAAAACTAGAGGATAAGATTTGGAGATTCTCGTTAACGATTCGATCCTTGGACCGACAATATTAATAATCGTCCCAACGGAGCAGTTCGGAGCGATATGTGGGACCGAGGTTGGTTGTTATCACGCAACATTAGCCGAAAATAAAGGACGCTTTGCCGCTTCTCCCCGCTGCAGCATAGCGTACGATTTGCTAGAAGTTAGCCGGAATACAATGCCTAGGAGTCGTACCTACACGATCTGGAAACCCCTCTGTCAGATAAGAGGGTGAAATCCACCCTTTTGCTCGACCCTCGAGTCTCGAGGACGAGTCAAGTGCAATGATGCTGCACAAACGCTGCTCGACCTATTCACCGATGCCTGTTTTTAGCCACTCGCGTTCAGTTAATCGTGTTAATGTCGTTCTTTTTATCTATGACATTATACTGTTTACATATCTCTCATTTTACATTTTACCTACCAGCCATATGTATTTGGTAACATATTTGCTCTGTCTCGGACGGAAAACGAATTAAAATCCATCGATCGTAGCGCAGACAAGTTGCAAAACTCGACAGTGCAAATGTTTAACGAGAGAAATCAAAGGGGTAGAGTGTGTATCTTCTGGCTCGACGCGTAAACGTTTTCAGACGAAAGAATCAAGAAGTTTGGAGTCTGAAGGAGAGACACGCCGCGGATTAATTATATTAACGCTTTTAATTAATCAAGCTTGGACCACTTAGTCTGGAACATCGTTATCCGTGTTTGTCTTACTTTCGTCGATCTTTCTCCGATCTTCCGCGCGATTTTTCGTCGGCAGAGATAAACGTAGCTTTATTGGATGAACGTAAAGAAAATAGAGAGGAATAGGAACTGGAAGTTTGCTAGTTCTCTTCTTGCTGCTCTACGCCCGATTCAACGTTTCCCTTAGACTTAAAGCTCTCCGAAGCTTAACGAAAATTTCCGCACCGCGGCGGTATCAGACATAGCGTAGCAATGTGTCGGTCGAGGAGATGGTGTCTTTGGTGTTTCTCGCCAAGTAGCGAGAACGGTGCAGACGACGATAATAGGGGAAAAGGTGTAAGATCGGTCCTCTTGGTCCGTTGTAATTGAGATATTGTCAGTGAAACACGCACGGTCTCGAAGCAGTCTCGAGGCAGTCTCGAGGCAGCCTGAACGTTCATAAAATTAATAACCCATAAATCCAGGAGAATATCGCGGAGAAAATTACCCGAACATATATTACCGGTGCTACCGACTTGAGAAGCCCCTATTTCCACTAGCAGGCAACCTTTCACTTTCACGGGGTTGAAATAACGGAAAAGGCTAAATTTCTTATTGTATGCCAGAAAAAGAAAACACGCGTCCATACATAGTGTACGCTGCGGTTATTTATTTTATTTATTCAAAAAGGGAAAGAGGAAAATTGCGTTGAATTTGAAATGAATAATGGCTTCTGTGGGACGTAGTTGACGTTGAGAATTGTAAATGAGACGGATATATCGAGTCCGTTCTACATACTTGGACGGAAGGAACGTGAGAATCAATGTTTAGTCTGCAAACAAGACTGCGTTTCTCGCATCTGTTACGATCACGTTGTTCTAAGCAATGCCCAGAAGTCTCGTTTTGCGCTCAATCAAACTGGAATAGTCTGTCTCTCTCTCTCTCTGTGGTCAGGGAAGAAAGGTATTGGAAACGTAATAGACTTTTAACTATTGCCAGTGATGCGACTCAATCGTTGCTCAGACATACCAGATAACAGGACACGAATGAAATCTAGAAGGATACAGAAAAGCTTTCTCTCGAATTCTGTACTCTATTCGAAGGGAAGATTATATATTTATCGAATCGCTCTCGATAAAATTCCGAAGGGAGTGTAGCACAGCCAATCGCTTAGTAGATATTTCGGATCTTGGTCACGAACCGATAAACTGCAAGGGGAAAAGAGAGGTAGCTGTTTGTTGTGAAACGTTCGACTAATAAAGTTATGATCCTACGATACTTTCAGTATTCGTATAGAACGAACGGTTTTTCGATTTAGATTTTTCTCATTATTGGAAAAGAGAGGAGAGAAGAGGGTTTCTCGAGGGACGAACGGATTAATTCGGTGGACGGGTGAAAGTAATATCGGTCCCTGTGAATAATGGACCGAAACGCGGTCGCGCGAACACGAACGAAAATACACTCGATTTAACTTTTAATTAATGGATTCGTTAGGGTAATAGAGTCGACCCTGCGCTGCTGTAACTTTTACCACCGCCTGCCCAGGGATTGACTGTAACTTTTGCATCGTTGCCACATTGCTCGAAGGTTTTCCATGTTGATTAACTTTTCCACTCTGAATCATTTAGCTGTCTTTCAGAAGTGAAAACGGACAAGCGAACTACTCTACATTAAATAACTAGTCAAAATGAAAAAAGATGTGTAAGTTTTTCAAACTGATTGAAAATTGTTTGACTAGTGTTTCGAAGTGTAGTAGTAATGGTGGTGGTGGTAGTGGTGGTGGTGGTGGTCGAGTGATGAATAGGTCGCGGTCGGGTCGAATCGACAGGCATTGCGGCTGAGTAAACGACAAAGGCTGGAGGTATAGGTCGGAAGAGGAAATGAAAAGTGTGATGATAGGCCTTCTGGGATGCAAGCTAGCTTGGCTGGAGTCCTGTCTACATTGTACATATAGTCTGTAATGGCGAACGATCAGCGAAAAATCTGATCTTTCTCCTTCGTTTTACCCGGTCTAGACCAGATTTATGTATCCACCTTTTTAACTAAATTCTCAAAAGAAGAATATTTTATTGATTTTATTTATGCTACCGAATATGTTTTGGTAAATTTCACAAGACCAGGTTTGTGCGACACTATTAACATTGTCTAACAGGCGAATAACACGGTTCGAGCAAGAGGCAATAGCGCGTGTACCTACGCGTTTACGGGCTGGCTGCGGGCTAAAGCAGCCCATAAACATGCAAATAGTCCATCTCGCCTCTCAAAATGCGAAGTATCGAGTATCGTAACAGAAAGAGAGAGAGAGCTTGATGGTTCGGTAGATCTTTCCCTGTACCCGTCGTGTTTGTACCCGTTAAATTGCCTGAATTCCATAAAATCTACTATAGGTTCAGTTCTGATCTAACTGTTATTCTGAAACTTGTACCGGTACATATTTCTGTGAGCAAGTTCCCGTAAGTGAGTCTGTGCTGTGGTGGTGTTTTCAGTGGACCGTTATCGCAAACTCGCGACTCCAACCACGGAAATATGATCCTGGAAAAACTTACCACCAACTTGCTGATAACGCAAGGTCCCACCGCTAATTGCCATCGTAATTAACGCGAGCCACCGTCGTAAATGGCTGTTCTTGGAAATGAACGTTCTTGGTGCGTACCAACACAAAAATCAGTTGAAAAACTTTACGTTTTACAGTGTGTTCTTTCTCCTATAGATGGACCACCGTAGAGACAAACAGAGTGTCGATTATCCAGGCTGCGAGTGATTACGAACCATGCAGCCCCCACATTCCGATACCACGTATCCGGGTCACGTAAACAAACTTTCATTCCAGTAATTCTAGCGGATACATTGTCGTCGGAAGGCTGCACACCCTTTCTTTCGCCAGCTGGATACGTTGTTAGCACACAATATCGACGGAGCTGAAATAACGAAGAAGAATGGGCCAAGTGCGTCTGTCTGGGTGGTAAGCAATATAACGAAATAGCTATATCCGGTGCGTCGCGACTTGAAAACATTCGCGAAACAAATACGTATACGAATCTGATTGTGAAACTCAAAGAATTCTGCTTCCATTCTATCCTGAAACGGTTCCTCCCCGATCCTACTCCTATTGGCAGTCTATTTAAATAAGGGAGACATCCGTAACGAGATAAAGATATAATCCTCTGTCCTACGATTTCTCTCCATCTTCTTCGATTATTCCATAAAACATTGCTACATACATATAGTCGCGTTGCGTTTTTCTTCAGATATAATATCTAGAATGCGAAACACGTAAATTTGGTTATACTATATTAATAACTTGCCTCGCGTCGAATATTCTGGCAGCACCGTTACATAGATATTACGGTGTTTCCTGAAAGTATACGAACGAGTGAGTACCTAAGGATATTATAAATACATATAAGTATATAGCGAGTTAGTAGATGGAAAATTAGCGAGCTCAGAGACACGACTACGTAGATGCGAGAACCGAAAGAGAAATTTGTTACTACCACTCCGTAAGTGAGTTGAGAGAGAGAGAGAGAGAGAGGAAATACTAGTTTGGCATCTACGCAATTTCCTTCATTAGCATCGAATTTCCGCAAGATACCCTTCCTCAACCCTCGATCCCCTTCTATCCCATCCGCTCTTTCTCCTACCCCCTATCTACACTCTACTACGTAAACCAAATCTCTGGCTCAGCAGAGATACAAGCTATCCTTCTTGTCACTAGTCGCTATAATTTCATTAGCCAGTCGTGCCTGGTTACGCTAACAAATTGCCACTTCTAACGATACGTTCCTTCATTCGTTATATCTATTAATAACGTTTATTAATATTATTATCCCTTATCTTTTTCCTCGGTAAATAAAGTAAGAAAATATGCAAACGAATTCTATACCGAAGCAAAAAGAAATATGTTAAACATTTCGATATTACACGAAAGGTGGCCTTTGGGAAACTGAAATTGAGGAACTCGGTAAGGAAACTGAACGTATCACATTTTTATTAGGTATACTAAATTACAGCGTTCTCCTCCTGGTGAAATACGAGCCACGCGTGATGTCAGCCTTGCCTCCTTTAGTTGGGCTGGTTGGTTTGCAATCAAATCTCATTTGGCTCGATTCTCCTCACCAAGTGAAATGCAATTTCAGCGGAAACTCCAGAATCAGGCAGCGTAAACTTTCCGTGCACTAACTAGCATCCTGCTATCCTGGTGAACCACCACCACCAGAATACACCAGGCTGAAAATTGCATTTAGCCACCAGGTTTTAGCACATGTTGACGACAACACCAGATCGCTTCAACGACTACTATACCTGATTGTCAGTCGTCAGTATCTCGAGCATCAGAAATGTCGAAACCGGGGATGTAAGGAATGCAGTGATTCCGTGCAAGGTCCATGAAAAGAATGAAAAAAATAATCAACTGCAAAGGAAAGCCTTGGTCCATAAAGGGTAGAAATAGAATAAACAATAACTGGGAAGGGTGGTCCCCGCGAGGCCCATAAAGAGAAATAAAATAATTAGGGAGCGTGGGTCCTGGCCCATAAAGAAGGATAAAATAATTAATACCTGAAATGGGTGGCGTTGGCCTATAAATTATAATATGTAACTGTAAAAAGTCAACTAAAATGGGTCCTCGGCCGAGACCCAGAAGAGGGATACAATATTATGATTGTTATATTCCCCTTCGATCAGCTTATTTAATAAGTAAAGAAAATAAATTAAGTAAATTAAATGAACTCTGGAAAGAAATTAGAGGACAATTATTACACTGGTTGCGCCTTGGTACGGATCTGATTTCATCGAGGGGTGTCAGAGACCCCGCTGCGCCAATAACGCCTTCTGGATACCGACCTGCTAACATCCTGGGGCGTTAGGGACCCCGAAGCACCGGTGACACATATATGTGTGTGTGGACTGTGGACGTGTAACAGTTGAATTATTAAGGTTAGTCTGTTAGTCTAATCATTTCTCAAGAAAATTATTATAATATTCTCTTTTCATTCTTTTCTTTTGTTTTTGCAAGTGTGTTAAACAATTGTCATTATTCTGTACATATTATTTAATAGACGAAGTAAATTATGAACGTACAAGAGACCGTGGAAGAATTGACACAAATTTCTATAGAAATACGTCAAAATTTGGAATCGTTAGTTGATAGGGAAGAACGGAAGAATCTGATATTGAATCATATCGAAGAGTTTGCGAAAAGGGGATCACGAATCACCGATTTTCAAAAAGGTTATTCATTTTAATTTCATACATTGCCCTAATATTGTATTAAATACGCTCGTAATATGAAATTACGAGCGTGCACACTTCAATCTAATCGAATTTTTTTATCTATATTTTTTCTTTGCTTCTATGGAACTCTATTTTACTTTTTCAAATACACACGTATTGAAATTCATATGAAATAAACATAATATTATTGTGATATACCATTAACAATGATTTTTTATTTTTCTTAGGTAAAAAGTGTTGCAGGTGTTAATAATTATGTTTCGTAAAAAAATACCTAAGACATCTAAGGAGCAAAATTCAAAAGATAAGACGGGGGCAAATGTGGTAGAAACCAATCGTAAAGAACACATGTCCTTAACGGAAAATGAGAAACACGAATACCTCCAGCTTTCAGAACTGGAGAGAATTCTTGACCAAGAACTATCAGATTTAATAATTCAAGAGAAAGAATTTTCTTCTACCGAAGAAACTATGGATTTATTACATAAATATAACGATATTAAAGATATAACTCAAGCAGTTATGGGAACGATAGCTGTGTCAAATGGAAGTACAGTTAGGAGTTTGTATCGCCGATACGGTTTATCTCCAGAGGAAGATTAAATCCATATGTTACTCTTTCATACAACATTTCATTTCTTTTTCTTTTTCTTTTTCTTTTTCTTTTTTACTGCCCATTCCCCTTGCTTACTCCAGTTACTGAATTCTCTTGTATTCTATGCAATCTAGTTTTTATAGCCTTTTTATAGATGTTTTTATACTCAAAATATAATGAAATTTAAAGAGAAATACTTACTTGGTTTGAACGTGTCAGGATTAGAGTGGTTCAACGTCACTGAGGGACTATCCGTATATCAACATCTGGTTGGGAAGATAATTATTTTGGACTTTTTTACATATTGTTGCATCAATTGTATGCACATTTTACCGGATTTACATGCTCTTGAAGAACGATTCACCATCAAAGACGGTCTCGTTGTGGTTAGTATACATTTAGTATTTTTCTTAATGTAGCTTACAGGGAAGGAAGCGTTATGCATAATTTACTTGTAGGTTGGAGTACACAGCGCAAAATTTACAAACGAACGTGATTCAAAAGGACTATTATCGGCTATACAAAGGTATAATATAACGCATCCAGTTGTAAATGACGCGACGCTATCAACATGGCGCGATTTAGGAATCTCTTGTTGGCCAACTCTAGTAATGATAGGTGATGACAGTATACCTTGAATGCACTACTACTACCACTACTACTACTACTACTACTACTTTAAAGACTATTTCTCATAAAATTGATATTTTTAAAAAGGATTAAGTAAAATATTCTTTTGTATTACGTAGGTCCTCTAGGGGAATTACTTGCAGTTTTCGTGGGCGAAGGCCATCGGGAGGAATTAAAGTTGTATACGGATGTAGCGTTAACATACTTTAAGTCGTTAAATAAAATATCCGAGCATGATGTACCTTTACAGTTAGCGCGGCATTTATTGCCTGTCGGTGGGAATGAAGCACTTTTATTCCCCAGTAAGTTGGAAAGTTTTCAGATCGAGCAGGGGGAAAAATTGATCATATCTGACACTGGCAACAATAGGATTTTAGTGACAGATATGTTGGGTAAGGTGGAATATGTTATCGGTGGTTCGAATCCGGATTTCAGAGATGGGGATTTTCAAAGTGCCAGGTTTAACGCACCTCAGGGGGTGTGCATATTGGGTAGTTGGATCTTCGTAGCCGATAACGAGAATCACGCAATTCGAAAGGTTGACATTTAAATCGTATCGTTTCGTAAAATACGACAAATGACTTTACCTTTTTTTATTATTACTTTTAGATAGACTTGACGAGGAAAATCGTTACCACGGTCGCTGGTACAGGTGTTCAAGGCTTCGATCGTATCGGAGGTAAATCAGGCAAAGATCAACTTCTGTCTTCTCCGTGGGATGTTGCTATTTTTAATCACGAATACGATAACAAGATTGTACCTGTGTTATTGGTCGCCATGGCAGGTATACATCAGATTTGGGCCCTTTTCCTGGAAAATACCGTGTGGTGGAAAAACAAGTAAGATGAAAGTTTCTTTCGATATCTAGAGTAGGTTCAAGTGACTCGTATTCTTTTCCGGCATCCTTGTAGAGAGTATAAAGCGGATTCGTGTGTTGCAATAGTAGGAAATGGTAGAGAGGAGAATCGTAACAATGCGTATCCTCACGCAGCAGGTTTGGCGCAACCATCTGGTTTGACCATCGATCAGAGAAACAAGATTGCTTATATTGCGGATAGCGAAAGCAGTGCTATCAGACGTATAGATTTACAGAATGGACGAGTTTCCGTCGTTTGTGGTGGAAACAAAAATCCTGCGGTTAGTTTAAAGCAAAATGGCTGGTGCAACGCTACTCTTACATATGTACATATATCGATAAGAATTCTTCCTGTCGATATCGCAGGATCTACACGATTTCGGGGATTCCGACGGCACACGGTATACCGTTAAACTTCAACATCCTTTGGGAATAACATGCCACTCGAAAGAGAACGTCATTTATGTAGCTGATACTTACAATCATAAAATAAAAAGAATCGACGCGAGCACTGGTTGGTGTAAAACTTTGTACGGTGATGGAAAACCTAACAAGAATTTCGCGGTACGTTCCGTTTAGAAATTGTACTTTCGACCGATTTACCGATTCGACTATGCTCCTTTTATATCTGTTGTTACAGTTTAACGAACCTAGCGGCATCGCTGTCAATTCTAGCGGTGATACTTTGTACGTTGCAGACACTAATAATCACATAATAAAGGTGATCGACACAACTAACGGAACCATTACCAAGGTAAAAGAAAAAAGAAAAAAGAAAAAAGAAAAAAGAAATCTTTTAATCTTTGACACGCTTTCGTATTCGCTGTTATGTTTTAGTTATCTCTAAAAATGACCGTATACGAGACGAATAACGATTTCAACGACGTTTACTTCTTTGATACGGCGATCAGTAATAAAGGTGGTAAATTCAATCTAGAGTTTGATGTAATTTTCCACGAGCGCGATATAAAGTTGAATCAGGACGCGCCACAGAAGTGGAGCGTCGTGAGTTTACCGGAGAACAGGTGGAGTGCTACAGCGATAAGCGGAGAACTTTCGCATCCGATATCGATCAAAGTTTCCGAAGGAAACGAAACGCACAAGGTACACGTGATTTTGGATATCGTTGGCTGCACAAGTACCGAATGTATACCAAAGAGATTGTCGGTAGTGTATCGTGTACGTCAGAAAGAAAATTTTCCTAACGTAGTAACGGAGCGAAAGCAACTATTGATTACATAATTGTAGATTATATTAATTTTGGTTGAAGAAGTTTAGAAAAAAAGTATATTTGTAAAATGATTGATGTATCGTTTAAACGTTGCAAGTACCTTTTTTTCTTTCTTAAATATCCATTTGAAACGTATCCGATTTGACAGAGAAGCAATTAGTTTTCAGTTTTTCTTCGTTTCGTGTAAGGTCCCTTTGAAAAGTGGATAATCTCGAAACGGATATAAGAGAAATAAAGATTAAAATAAAAAAGGATAATAATCAGTTATATTTAAAGTTTGTTCGTTTGTACGTACCTTCTCCACCAAGAATCGGAGGAATTGTTCGAAAAAGGCAGTAACTTTGAAAGAATGGCCGTATCGAAATTCGTCAAATACCAATTTTCATATAGATCTTCTCGATAACCGGTAGGTTCGGACCATGCCTTCAGACAATTGCTTTCTATCCATCGAACGAACGCGTCGTTTGGTATTTCAAGTACCTTTGTGATTGAAGATAAATGTATATCGACAAGATTATTAAATTTCCCGACGAGACCTACCTTGTTCGGATTTCGATACGATACGATACAATTCGTACGTGGATTAAAAATTCCAATGCCCGCGTCGTAACAGTTAGGAGGGATGACAAGTCCGGCTTGATTATTTGTACGCAAGGTTGCACCGGCAGGTCTTAATCCATACTTTAGGCAGGCATAGTATCTGATTGTGGTTTAAAAAAAAAAAATTTCCTAATGTCTATTCTAGATTTGTTTTATTACATTTCGTGTATGTATATATTGTATATAGGAATTTTTTTTTTTTTTTTTTTTTTTTGAAAAAGAACAAAGTATGAACCGCCTATCGGGAAATTTGCAGTATTTCCAATTTTTTTTACGAAACGTCAATCCGTCGTTAAAGATGTATCGGGTTTTGTTGCATTGACCGCGGTACCAAACACCGTCCATCCTTTGTCCACGAATCCAATACATGCTACCATGACCGTGAAAAGTACTATCGCGGAGCTCTCCTTCGAACATGGCATCTGTTAAGGATAAAATAAATAAAAGCGTGAGAAAGAAGGATAAAAATACGGAGAGAGGGAGTGAGAAGAAGGAGGAAGAGAATGATATAATTAAGTTGCAAGAAAACATAGGATCGTTGAGCTATCGGTAAATGAAAGACGCGCAGAAACTCTGGAACACGAAGCAACCAAAATGGTCGCGTAACGGTACGTATCGACTTACGTACGAGAAATGCTCGTATATTGTACCTGTATTGTACGCGCATCGTAGACAGAATTATTGGTATTCGTATATACGCCTTGTCGACCTGGTTTTATTCAGGTAGTACACTTGGAAAACTTAATTCGAAGCATTGGGGATACCGCAATTGACATTCGAATTGCACATACCAACCGTTCCCGCTTAACTTTTCCTCTATAATCCCTGTTACCAGCGATACATTGCCCTTGGCTTTCGTTCGGAAAAAGAAGCGCAAAGAAACCCGTATTTCAGATTCTTTCATGCCACTTTTTGCGAATTATACTAACTATGAGGTAGAACGTATTTCCCGATTCCCTCCATGCCCAGCGCATTCCAGGTGCCCTTGTATTCGCTATCATCGATAAAATGTACATTTTCGTCTTCTGGATTTTTCAATAGAAAATCCATGGTGTATCGTTACGTCGCGTTGTTCCTTGAAATTCGTGTTGAAATTTTCCAAATTTTTATGCGATTTCCATTAATTTCCTCGCTGGATATATGTATGTAGTAAGTATATACGTTGGTTAAAGTTGCCTGGGTAGCATTGAATTTCAATAACGCGAAGTTACGTACTACGTTTACGAGTGTATATCGTAATTTAGCGACACATGTGGAATACAATACCGAATAATCCGAATAAAGGTGGAGAACACCGTACGTTTCTGATCGGATCAACGAAAGACCTCGACGATCGAGGGACAAAGTGATTATTTCATTTTTCGAGCTAGTCCTTGTGAAATTTTTCTCTTCTGAGACGCGTGATCGCGGTTCATGGGCAAGATAGGTTGCCGAAATATTTCTTAAAACGTTCGAAAGACAGAGTGGAAAGGGAAGCAGAATAAACGAATACCGTTAAGCGTTCTCGTAAGCGTTGCTCATCGTGGATAGAAATAAGATACGTATAAAGAACGTTATATTTTGGTTTGTATGTATTGTATGTACAATCTACATATAATTTGCAATACCATACAAGAATTGTACAATACATATGTAGGTAAGATTTTTTCCAAATCTGTTGGAAAAATCTGTTTAAAACGCTTTACTGTTTGTACATACGTCGAATGTGTTATGAAAGTAATTTATTCGGTCGATGTACAGTTAATCGCCATATGTAAATCGTTCGTGTTTGCGTCGAAGTGAAATTAATTTTTCCAAAATCTAACGTTTATTATGATAACGCGCAAATAGGTGGTCGTTTTTGAAAGGAAACTTTATCCGCCGCGTCGCAACGTATCGTAATCTTATCCTGTCAAAATTCATAATTGATGCGATAAATGTAAGGTGAAGACCGATTCCTTCTTTTTCACCTTTCTTCATGCCCTCTCGATGTACATACCTAGAAAACCATGCACACACGTACAATGGTGTTCGCATTCGTAAATACAATGAATTCGTAAATGAATAGAATGAAATATTTATTAGAATAGCCTCTGGTATGAACGGTGCCGTCCGACCATACGACCATCCATCTATCCATCCATTCGACCGACCGACCGACCGATATCTCGGTTTACCAACTTTCTTCTTTCTTCATCTTTTCGTTGAAAGACTATGTATCCCCTCTCTCTCTTTGGACGGTATTCTTTCTCAGTCCGATGCACTCGTCTCGAGCGCAAGGATTCGAGGACAGTGGAAGAGGCAGTACGCGCTCGTTCAAGCTCCGAGAGACAGTAGATAGAAAGGACAGGTGGCACGGGAAAAAGTACGGATTGGCGCGCGTTGTCGAAAAATACGAAGAAGATTAAAAATAAGATTCGATGGAAAGAAAAATAAAAGAAAAGAGCGAGATATCGAAATAGAGGTAACGAGAAGAAAAGTGAAAAATAGGTATCGCAGACGTATTTTATAGATGATGCTACACATGTTAGAGGAAATTATCAAAGTTAAGAAGCGTTAAAGAAACGAAAAGGCAATAAAGGAATCGAAGAAGGGAAGAAAGTAGAAAGGCCGAGTGCGTGTACGAGGATCAAAGTGTCAATTTTCATCCGCGACGCGACGTGTCAACGATTTTCCAGGTATTTACCATCCATATTGATCTGGCTGTCTATCGTTCTGACAGTCACTCCTCGGTAGAAAGATAGAAACTGGAAGTACAATCAAGAACTTTTTTAATTTGAAAAAAGGAAAAAGAAAAGTAGCTTTTCTATCACGCGCATTCGAGTCGATTCAGCAACCGGTTACCGATAGATCTTACCTACACCTATTATCAAGTGGTAAATTTTGAAAAGCGAAGAATTTGTTCGTAATCCTTTACGCGAATGCAAGTAAGTACATACGTGTCGCGGGTTTACCGAGCGATTTAGAACGCAACGGCAAACCGGTCGTCGTCACGTTAAGGCAATGAGTCTCGGTCCGTAAGGGAGTAACAAGGAACCTAACGAAGGGTCGTTCACCGAAAAGAACAACTCGCGGCTCGTCTCTCCTATACTAAGTTATCTTTCCATCGAATCGAATTTACGGACCGACATTTCGATGAAATTTTCAACCAACTTTTTTTTTTTCACTTTCAGCTTACCGAAGAAGAAATATGAAAAACATGTCATCGAAAAATTTTTTTGCAACCCTTACGACGATTGCGCTATGGACGTGCATAAATTTCGGTGCGAGCTGGCCACTCGAAGAGAATACAAGTGTCGCTGGTGCTAAAGCGTCGATGAAATTTTTCAAAACTAGGTCAGTATATAATTTCTCTAACAAAATAAAACAGAGAGAAGAGATAGTTGTAAGAAATTGTGCGATCTCTGAGGTAGGAGATGATAAGTTCTGTTTTCCACGTTTCTTTTTCTTCCAATCATTGTGTTACCGTTAATTGACATACACGTATGTAGATGTCGATCGTAGGTATGAATTTGTTGTTGATTCGCAGCACGGTTCCTCCATCGGCGCCGCTTACCACGAAATCGAAGGATTTGAAAAAGCAGATTGTTCGTTCGATCGGGAACGATAAAAAATCATTGAGTCGGTTCGAGGCGAATTTTCATCGTTTGCCTCCTTCGCCTGCTAATCTATTGAAACCGGATCGATTTCAATTCTACACGTACAACGAAAGAGGTGACATGATCACGAAACAGATGACCATGCAGGAAATTCAGGCGTTAATCGCGGGCGGAGGTCCGGATCATTCGAATACGAACGTAGAGGTTGAAGAGCCTCAGAAGGTCGAAGATATATTGACAGGTGGTAAGAAGGTAAGTAGCGATTATTTGCCGATTATTATTTTTCAGTCGAATTAACGAATTATGTACGTACTCGTAAATGAAAATGTGAAGGAAGAGTTTGAAACGGTTTTCCCTGATTATAGGTAATGGACGTTGTAGAAAAAGTGCAGAGCGTACTAAAAAGCGCGATGGGTAAGCCAACAGCCACGTTAACGGGTTCGCTGCCAACAGTTCCAGAAAAGGCGAACGTCGAGTGGAGCAATATCTTACCCGCTATATTGGCCGGCGACAAGTACGGAGACAAGCTCGAATCGAATCATTACACCGAAGTAGAGGCAACATCGACGTCCGCGACCGTTGAAAAGTTGAATTTCTTATCCGAATCGTTTCAGCCGAACAGAACGGATCAAGTGATTCCATCGGAAGACAGGTTCGAATCTACAGTGCGAAACGAAGCAGCGATCGTACAGACCGATAATAAAAAGGAAACGCAAGAAATGTTGTCAACGACCTCGTCGACGGAAAAATTAATGATTCCCGTGGCTGTTATTACGGCAGAAGAGAATGCTCAAATTGGCCAACGAATCACTCAAAGTCCTGTTTTTCAGAAGATCACGGAAATCGCGTTGGTGCCGTTTGAAAACGCTTTGGACGAAAATAAGGATCGTCACGCGTCAACCGTGACCACCCGTGCAACGCCAACGATTACGACCACGACCACGACCACGACCACGACCACGACCACGACCACAACCGATGCTTCGCCGCCGTTGTTGTTGTTGTTGGAATCCATATCGAAAGAGCATAGTAACAATATTATTACGGAGCCTGTAACCAGCATGGCGTCCGACTCGATAAACGGTTACAAAGTACGGCCTAATTTGGAAAACGGTTCAAAAACAGATTCGACATCGTTACCGGAATCGAACAAAATCGAAACATTCGTTACCAGCGAACCGTTCACGATGACATTACCATCCTATTCTTTCGCAACGTTTACCACGAGCATAGACAAATTTGTTCCACCCTTGCCAACGGAATCGTTAATCGTCGATGCGTCGACCTCGTCGACAAGCCTAAGCGATTTCGATGCGACGCAACCGCCGCCGAAACCGTTATCTATGGAACTGGTAAATTCGTTGTCGAGCGTGATCAATCAGGTATCAGAAACCGTTTCATCCGTTTTGCCTATTTCTTCGGGTTTCGATTCGGTAATTAATTCTCACTATGACGAAAATGAGGAAAATGAGGAAAATGAGAAAAAAAGGAATAACGTTTCAGAAATATCGACCGATAATTTCAGAAATACAGCACCGATAATTCATAGCACTAAATTTCCTCTGATTCACGAAGAAACAGGAGCAAAGGTTGACGAGGATGCATTCCAAGATGACGTTCCAGGTCGTTGGACCGTTGAGGCGACAACAAAAATTCAACTCGATCAAGAACAGAGTAGTTTTTCAAGTATGTCTACCACGTTATCGTCGCCGTACTTATTGTCGTCCACGAACATGGCTAATTTTATAGAAACGAACAAACATTCCGATGTTTTAACGAAATCAAACGTTACTGCTACTACTTCTCAATTTCCATTGAATTCAACGAAAACAAGTACGACAATAAGTAGGAACGAAACGATGTCTTCTTTACTCGTTACATCTGAACGTATTACAAGTGAAACGGTGACATCGAGTCCTTTCGGTTGGTCGAACACGAACCGGACGAAACCCACAGCGATCGTCGACAACATACTCGAAACTCTTTCTACCGAGGTAAAGACACCTGTTGTTATCGAAGCGCTTACATTACCATCTATTTTACCGAAAAATTCCTCCATAAACACTTTAGCGAGTGGACTTATCGCCGGTTTCGAATCAGCTGGTTCGAACGAAACGATGCTTTCGAACACGTCTCCCGCTTCTACTAATGCTGAAATTTCGTTTAACGCAAAGGAAACGCAAATAGAAAAGCATGCGTTGAAATTGACAGAGGAAAGCTCGATGAAATCGAACGAAACCGATGAAAATAATCACGCGATAATCGAGAATCAATCGACGAATTCGCTGAAAGAAACGGCAACTGAAATGCAACTGGAAACAACAACAGTCACGCGAGCAACCAGCGAATATCCCGAAGGTGAAATCGAGTTCAGTACGAAAAGTATCGGTACCACCGATATCGCGATCGCTTCTATCGCGGACACAGAGACGTCGATGACGAGCTCGGCTAATACGAATTCGGTGCACGTTGTTACTACAAAGTCGGACCTGGAGAATACTCTTAAAATAGATCCGACCGAATCCAGTGTATCGAACGTCGTAATTCCAATCGTTACAGTCGAAAAAGTGTTGTCACAGGAAGCATTGAAAATGAACGATACAACTTCTCCGAACCGCATAAACAACTTGGCATACGGAGAAAACACATCCTCGACGAAACACATGGATGAAATCGTTGAAACGAACACGCGTAAAACTACCCTTTTTTCCGTTGCAAATTCACCCGAAACGGAAGAAGAACCACTAGAGGAACGGTACGGGGAGAAAAAGCACTCATACGGGAATTTGTCGAGTTCAACAACAGTTATTAACGCAATTTCCGAAGGTTCGTTTTCGTTAGGAACGTTGAACCAGCAAAGTCAGAATTGGAACGTTCTCAACGAGAAAGTCGTTTCAAACGTTACGGAAGCAGAATACGGAATAAGAACAACCATTACAACCATTAGAACGATACCCATTCTGTCGAACCCATCGAACAACGAAAGTAACCACACTTTGAATACAACCGATCGCACAAATTCGATTACCGAGCAACTCGACCCGAACAAAGTGACGTTCGATTCGACGAAATTGAACGGATTAAAAAATCAAACGGTACAGTCAAACGAATCGGTCGAGAGCGTTCACGTGAACTCTAATAATTCCGTGAATGTTCCTCACGAGTCGCAGCAGCATATATGGCAACGAATATCATTACATCAAACAACTCCAATCTCTTCTCCTCCTTCTTCATCTTTTTCTTCTTCTTCATCCTCTTCTCCTTCTTCTGTTATTTCTTCATCGACGAAAGAGTGGATCGTGGCAAGCAAGAAACCAGAAACAATACCGGAATCGACGACGCCGTTCGAATTCGATTTCACGAAAGAAAAAGAAAAAGAAAAAGAAAAAGAAAAAGAGACGGGATCGATGGTGGCGTTGAATGCTTCAAAGATTATCGGGGGATTGGACATCAGCACAAGAAACGCGAGCACCGATATTGTACATTTTTCCAGACTTTGCAACGAACTGGCGTTGAAATTTTGGACAGCGGTGAACAGCGGACCAAGTACCGGAAGATCTCTGGTTGTTTCGCCGTTCGGTATGATCAGTTTATTGGCGATGATCTTTCTCGGTGCTCGGGGATCAACGTCCGATCAAATGAACGAAATACTCGGACTCGACAACGTCGCCACTTTCAATCCACATTTAATATTTCAAAACGTGACGGACACGGTGAGCCTAGCGAGACATCAAGGTATCGCGAACGCGGCATTCGTCCGCGAATTGTTCGCGGACAAGGCCAAGGTTAGAAAGCTGTTGCCGTTCTACAAAGAACAAGCGCAACAGTTTTACGAAGGATTAGTAGCCGAAGTAAATTTTGCCACCATCAGCGATCTAACCCGTCGACGAACCAATCTGTTGATCAGAAAGCAAACCGGGGGCAGGATAAAGGATTTCGTAAAGAACAATGCGATTCCATTGAGGTCACCTTTAGCTGCCATATCGGCAAACGTATTTCAGACCGAGTGCAACGCGAGCACGATCAGCGCAACTGGTCGTGACGGAGAACTGTATTTTGCTGTATCCTCATCGGCACATAGGCTGCGAAAATTGATCCCAGTGCCGGCCGTTGTATGGCGATCGAACGTACTCGCTGGCTACGAGCCGAATTTGGATGCGACCGCGGTCGCTCTCGGCGATGTCGGCAAAATCGTTTCTACGATATTCCTTTTGCCCGGTCAACAGGGTCACGTCGCGCCAGGGGACACGTTGGATCGTCTCGAAGAAAGGCTCGTCAAAGGAGCATTTCGAGATGGTACTTGGAACAAACTTCTCAATGTACTTATACCAAGAGCTGGTCTCGAACTGCAAATACCGAAATTCACTCATCGATCCGTTGTGAACGCTACAGCCGCTTTAAAAAGAATGGGCTTCGATCAATTATTCTCAAGTTATGCCGATTTCAAAGGTATCAACGGAATTGGTAATCGTCTCTTCTTGTCCGATGTTCTACAGGTAATTAGCATCATACTCTTCTTCCTCTCTTCCTTTTTTGCTTCTTTTTCATTCAAATTATTCATCCTTTCTTCTTTTACACTTTCCTCCGTTCGTTGGTCTAATCGATCGTTTTTTTTTTTGTTTTTTTTTTTTTTTTTGTAGATGAATCTATTCGGTACATGCGGCGACGAGAATATCGCCAACGGACGACATCACGTGGAAATCTATCCAGCGAGTCCGTCTTTGCGATATTTCCGGCACGATAAACCGTCAAACGTTGAACAACTCTCGGTTCGGGTAAACGAGGAGGTTTCGTCCTCGTCGAGGAACGATAGTACGGTACCAATGGGAGGCCCGATAACGGGAAACGTAAAGAAATCAAAAGACAAACCGAGATTAAAGTTGGATCAACCGTTTCTTTATTTTGTACGACATAATCCGACTGGTCTCATACTTCATATGGGTCGTTTTAACCCAAGATTGTTATAAAAATGGATCGTATCGCGACGTTATTCGACAAAATCTTGCGCAATCGAAGCAAGAACGGCCAAAGCCGTTTGAATTTTTCTTTTCCTTACATCAACATTGTCGACATATCGTTTGATTATAATCAGGCATTTTCAGTTCGACAATGCGTTTTCGTTTAACATCGTTTCTGAAAAAGTTCCTTTCGAATCGCGTACCAAGTACGAATAAGACGCGACATGGCTCGAACACGTCGAACAACGATAGAACTGGAAACGACTTGTGAATTCTAATTGTATACTTGAGATACATATTTATGCGTGGACACGTGTCTTAGGTAGATTAAGATGCGTCCTAATGATATTAATAACGCTTTATTGTTACGAACGGACAAAATTGATGAAAAAGATATGTGCACGATCGATAACAATTTTTCAAATCGATACACACTTTTGCGATAATATACCATATCCGAGATTCTTACAATATGTAGTAGACAGTGAGTGTGTTTCTTTTTCTATTGTTTCTTTTATTCGTTTCTCTTTATTAGAAATATTACATTTACCATTGTATAAAATGTCATATCGAATGTAATGTCGTTTTATCATGCCACCGATTGGTGATTATTAATACGTCTTTTCACGAGAAAACAGAGGATAAATGTAGATACATACATACATACATGTATAGCTCCTTCCTCAGCCTTTTCAATTCTATAAATGTTCAACATTTTATTCATTTTACTGATCGTGTACTCCTCTGTTCGAAGTGACGTTCGTTGGCCATTAAACGTGATGGCGACGTTGTTGCGTTTCCTCGATTCGAATTTGAACTAAGTCCCTGTAAAGAGTACGATTATAAATTGTGTAATAATTAAGTAGATAAATCAACATATATAATATACATGATTCAATGTTATCTTCTGCGCAAAAATACTCGGGCCGACATGAATGGAGTGTACGGACCCCGAGGAAAAGTTGTCCTTGGGAAAGCTATCTTCGCGGAAAGCTCGACATCGAAAAAGCTTGTTTTGTAAATTGTATTCAGACATAGAATAAGGAATACGTAGATTTGCCAACGCTAATTGGGACCAGACACAGAATAGGGAATACATATATGTATGTACCTTCCACCGCAAAAAGTTTTTTCGAAGATCTGGAATCTTGTCTTGAAAACCAGGAAAATTTTGTTCAAAAGTCGGTAAATTGTCTCGAAAATGTGGAACCATAGCCAATCGGTTTTTTTTTTTTTTTTTTTTTATCCGAGGAAACACTTTTACGTAGAAAAATAGGTAACCTAATGTAAGAAAAGAAATGTAATAAAAAAAATCATGTAATAAATGATGTAACCGATTAGCCTTGTAAAAAAATGCGTAGAAATGAAATCTAACTCAAATGTCACCCTGAAATATTACAAAAAAAAAGTAGAAATAAAAAATTCTCCCAAAAATGCGTTGAAACCAAATGTAATCCGTTAGATTAGTAAAGAACTGTTTAAAAATGAAATGTAACCTCTGAAACAAGAATCTGTAATAAAAAGAATTGTCTATGAAAAAAAAAAAAATATGTAGTGCATAACACGTAGCATGGTAGGACACATAACGTAGCATGTTAGGACACATAATCGAGCATGCTAGGACACAAAACCTAACATGCTAGGGCACAACACCTACCCCTGTGGCTGGGGGTTTAGAATACAGCCACGGTAACCCCAGCCTGTCGTAGGAGGCGACTAAACGGGGGCGTTGCTACTGCTGCTGTAGCTTCGATTTCGGGCCTGGGGCATAGACATAGGAAATATATTTACCTATTTTTGATTTTCGAGCAAGGTTTCTTATGTATATACCGACAATTTCACCAATTTGCGTATAGTTGCTTCTCTATATTTAAATAAACTATTATTTCGTATGCTCTACTTTCTACATTGCAATTTATCTTTCTAACTAACTGTTTTATTGTAGCATACGTTTGAGAATACGCGCAGCCATGATGGCGCTCACGGTCGATCGATTTATCGATCGGGAGTCGTCCATCTAGGTGAACGCGTGAGCAGTGGTCTTCTCGCCGGCTCGCGCGCAACGACGCCATTATCGAGCATCGATTCATCAAGCTCGGACTCGTGTTCACTGGATTGTTGAATATAGTCAGTTTAAGTGCAGTTCAGACGAAAAATATGGACCATCGAACGGTCGGTGAAACGCTGAAGATCCGCAGCAACAGTGCAAGCGACCGGATCAATTACAGGATTAATTCATTGTACACGCGAGCCGCCAACCACGCGTCGATCACCCACATGTTCACGGCCACCATCAAAAGCAGCGGACTGAATTTATATAATTAACGGCGCTTATTTGCTCGCTGCTAGCACTCTTGTAAATTCTCTATTCAATTTGTATATACCTTTGTCGAAATAAGATGCTACATTTCTTCAATATATTTTATATTCCATGACTAAGCCTACTGTCATGGCTACCCGTTTCGTTTCCGACCGTTGTTACTTATTACCTATAAATATGTTATTTTTGCAATTATAGTGCGGTTGGAAGTATTCCAAGTCTCCGATCGACTATTTATATGTAAGTTTGATTGCTTGGTGTAATATTTTTACTTGTTTTGTCTTATTTCCTTTGAGTGTCCTAACTGTCACCCTAACCCCTTCGCCTAACCCTAACCCTAGCATGGTAGGTGTGTATGTGCCCTAGTATGTTAGGGTTAGGACACGTACCCTAACTCTAACCCCTTCCCCTCAACCTAACCCCTTCGCCTAACCCAGTAACCCTAACCCCTTCGTCTAACCCTAACCCCAACCCTAATCCTAACCCTAACCCCCTTAACCCTAACCTCTAACCATAACCCTAACCCTCACCCCCCCCCTTAACCATAACCTCTAACCTGTAACCCTAACCTTAACCCTAACCCTAACCCTCCCCCCCCCCCCCCCCCCTTAACCCTAACCCCTAACCGTAACCCTAACCCTAACCCTAACCCTAATCCCTAACCCTAACCCCCTTAACCGTAACCCCTAACCCTAACCCTAACCCCCCCCTTAACCTTAACCCCTAAACCTAACTCTAACCCTAAGCCTAAGCCTAACCCCCTTAACCCTAACCCTAACCCCTAACCCTAATCCTAACCGCTAACCCTAACCCTAACCCTAACCCCCTTAACCCTAACCCCTAACCCTAACCCCAAGCCTAACCCTAACCCGTAACCCTAACCCTAACCCTAACTCTAACCCTAACCCCCCTTAACCCTAACCCCTAACCGTAACTGTAACCCTAACCCTAACCCCCTTAACCCTAAC